ATACCTGGGTTCGAAGTTTTTCAGTGATGGCCCACGATTCATGACCGTAGGTAAGTATGGGGATAAAGATTGACTTGAATATTGAGAGCTTAGTTTTCAGACCGAGCTCTGCTTTACTCATATTGTTTCAGGCTGGTTCACGCAGAACGCCACTGGCTACCCCAATTCGCCGGTCGATCTCTTCCTCCAATTTTCCATCACTATTAAATACTTATTCTAATCTAATACGTTGAAAATTTTTAGCAGCTGAAGCTCATGTGTAAGGGCGAAATCATGATTAGGTTTGATTACAATCAGTTTGTTATACAGGCCCCAAATATGCTGCACTGATGCTTTTCTTATCTTTTTATGTGACTTGTTTTCATCACCGGCCGCGCTATAGACCCAACTCGACGATCCGCCATTCTTCTAGACGTGTACCCTTTGTTCCAACGATGGACCAAGCAGCTTATTCATTTTGTCGTCCCAGCGTGTTTTTGAATGACCGAATGGGCGTCTGTTGCAGAGGATGATCCACTTGATAACTCGAGATGTCTACATGTTGTCCTTCAGACGAGCCACATAGGCAGCTCATGTTCATCGTCTCTTCGAGGCGGCAGTATGTGCATAGAAGCATCGTGTCCCACACCAGACTATCGCACTTGGAACGTGGTTTCTAAGGAAGACATTGCTTATTCTTCTTTCCATCGCCACTAGTTTCTTTCCCCTTACCTTGCTGGGGACTAGCACTCCTTGCTACATATTATGGCGGATAGGACGGCGGAGCTGAACAGCTCTTTCTTAATGCTGGGCAGTTCGTTATCGAGCAACGATGTTTTGATGTGATTGGAACTTGCCCATGTCTTCTTTCTCATCTGCTGACCTCTCCGTTGGTGTCGTTTTTTGACTCTGTTATGTGGTCGACGCATAAGTAGCTAGTGACTGTACTTAATTGCAGTCAGTGAAAATGGCACATGTGTTGGAGTGTTAGTTGCACATTCATTTCTTGAAGATGTTCACCAGGCCGATAGCCCGTGACTTCTACGACTACACAATCTATATTTCGAGTTCCGCCGGGACTTTGGCAAAGATGACGTAATCTGCAAAGAGTAGATGGGGGAGCCATTCTCCGTCGATGTTAATGCCTGCCAAATTCAACGGTTAAAGAGGAATTCCAGAACCTTTTCGAAGAGTTTAAGAGAGACGGTGTCTCTTTAGCGTATGTCTTTTTTGATGTTAATTTGACACGATTCCTCGAACAGCTGTATGTCGGTTATAGTGTGAGTGTTCAGTTTCTCGATTAGGTCTTAGACAGATTTCATACCGTAGTGCTGCTAGACCTTTAATATTGCATTCTTCTTAATGGAATCGAACGCTTTTCTGAAGAAATCGTAAATGCGCAGCAAGGAGAGTGGGATTTTTATTCCTTGCGGTTCTCTGTTAACTGCTTCATGATATGAATATGTTCTGTAGTAAAGAACCGTGTTCAAAAACCTGCTTGTTCTTTACTGGCGAGCAGTTTCAGGTATTTCCGGGTACAGTTGAGAATGATTCAGATAAACACCTTGTTGACTTAGTTATTGAGATCATCACCGTGAGTCGTTTGCATAGTCACAGCGTCTCTCATTTGTGATGTCCGCTGTATCAGCTGTTTTTAAACGCTTTTGCTATAAGGCACTGGGTCCTGTATCGCACAAAGAAATGTTCTTCTCAGAATGCAAAGTTGCCTCTACGGTATTACTCCATGTTGCTGGTAGCCTCCTTGTGGAGATCTGTCGTGTTTCGCCTTCCACAAAGTAAGTTCATGGGCTGAAATAATCGGTCAATTCTCACTCAGTTTGTCCAGCAGCGCTAACCTGCTTTTCTTAATCTCCCTTCCACGGAGAACCATTGTGCACGGAACGAAATCAGTTCATTCCCTACGTGATCCTGCCGTTTATTCCTCCTTATGATTCGAAACCGACGCTCACGTACGCAGTTCAACCGTCGTTTTTGTTCCTTCATTGGAACAGCTGTCTTCATGTCGTAAAATACTGACCTGACAGGCAGGGTACATGCGAATTTTCGTGAAAAGAGTTAACTCATGTCTCAGCCGAAATATTACACAGGTTTCCAAAAACAATCAAGGTTAGAGCAATCCTCCTATTTAACTTTGGCTGGATAGTACCATCACTGGAGATGATGCAGCTGAGAACCTAAACTGGTCAATTTCCTGAAGAACTTCACCTCGTGGTTCCACATGTAGATCAGCTGTGCCTGGTGGATTCCCCATAATTTTTCGGTTCCGGTCATTAAAGAAGAGGTCGGCTTTCGTCATTGTTTGTATAAAAAGTCAACAGGTGACAGAGACCATTCACTGTACTACTTATCAGGATAATATCATCTCAGTATTTCAGATCAGCAAGACATCTAACCGGACATCTTG